TACGCTTAACTTCAAAAAGGTCTTGATGAAAACTACTCTTGGATGTCAACAGAAGGTGAATCCAGTCTTACTACTGGAGTATTGCCATATTTGCCTTGGGAGAAAATTTCTTGCAAGGTTTCTGAAAAGCATGCACACACACACATTCGCACATGCACACAAACACACACATGAACAACAGAATTGGAACTTCTTCTAGTTTATAAGTTGAGTGATAAGACTGTGTGCTAATAAATATCCATGTGGCAGAATTTTTCCAAACTTTCTTTCATTTTATTGTGGAATCAAAGTGGTAGGGGGATAATCTTCTTCTCCCCTTAACCATTGTGGTTCCTTCATTTCCCTCCAAAAACTCTGAGAATTATGCATGATTGCACTGTCTTAGTTTCTTTTTCAATAGCTGTGTTATTCCAAAGACTAACATCTTATTCTAACTAGAGCTCTGCATGTTGAGATCCCACGAGGGTGGCAATGCTACAAAAGTAAGGTAGGTCATCCTTTGATAACAATTGCTTTCTGAGCTAAGTCTAGACTTGTTCTAGCAGGCAAAATAGGGGCATTAAAAAGAGAACAGTAACTTTGTACTTAGAAAGATAATTCTGTTAGAATGTGAAGGATGAAACAGAGGAGTAGAGAATGATAGCAAGAGGGTAGTGTAGGAGGCTTGGACAAATCTGTTGGAATTAAGGGTAAGGAAAATATCTTTGAGAAGTGCAGTTGACTGATCTTGAGGACTAATTGGAAATGGCACATGAGAAGAAAGTGTGGCCAGTGAGGTAGAGGATGATACTAGGAACTGAGGTGTAAAATTGAGGATGACGAAGAATGAGTATGGGGGGGAATGTTGTGGTATTAGAAATACTAAGGACTGAATCCAAGGGACACAATAAAATAAAAGGTCATGTAGAGGGGAACAAGAAGTGATGTGAATGAACCGAAAGAGAAAAGTATCAATACGTTCTATCTTGAAAAAATATTAGAATCCTTCTCTATCATAATCTTTCTGATAAAGAACTGATATAGCCAGGTAATGCCTTTTGTAATGACTCAAAAGGAACTGAGTGAATGTGTCCCTGATGCCAGAAACTCCATATTCAAGTCTGATGAAATGGCTGTAAATCTTGGAATTCAGAGCCACTTATACCTGAGATTAAATTCTGTCTTTCTAATTGTGTGATTCTCTGATGATGGATAAAGTAGTCAACACATCACTTGTTATTCAATAAATGGCCATTGAATCTATTATTATCATATTGCTAAATAGTAGGATATTACTAAGCATTTTTCCCTGGTTATTTTTCATTCTTTGCCTTACCTTACTCCAAAAGTATTTTATGAATTATCCTTTCAGGGAAGGTAAATATAGTAGCCAAGAATAAAGAGGGTATTGCTTAGGTTTGACTCTAAATTATACTTTTTAAAAGTCAAGACAAAAATTTACAAAGACTTGGGTTTTGTTTGATAGCCACCTCTGCTTTGAAAGAGGAAAAGGCTTGCAGAGCTTGGAAGCATGGGATTTGATTATGTCAGAGAAGTTTTTCACTATTGGAAGAGTAGATAATTATCTGACCAGGAAAGCATGTATGGGAGGCTCTAAGGGGCTATGACTAAAGTTTAGAGCCTGCATGGGTTTCTGAGAAGGGGTCCTCAGGGGCCCAGAGAGGAGAAGAGGATAACAGAACTTCCTATGGTTTGAGGAAAAATCGGAGAAGAGTGAGGATTTTTGTCAAGTTTCCCAAGGAAAATCTTAGGAAACTGTAAACTTTATGGAGAAATCCTACATTCAGCATGGAAACTATATATTAAAGAGGCAAAGGATAAAGAAGGTGATTACTTTTTTAAAAAAAAAATTGGGAAGGTGGGTATATGTGTAGCAGAGCTAATAAGACTAGAAATACAGATAAGAATGTCTGAAATTCCCAAGGGAGAAACATCTGGGCAAGTGTGTGAAACTTTTGACTGGCGGCCATGACAAGGATCTTGGCCTTGAGCAGCCAGTGCCCAATGTGTCCAAAGACCAGGTGGTAGTATCTCAAGTGAGGAAGGGATGGCATATGCACCAGGTAACTTTCTTCTTTACCAGATATATATATATATATATATATGAGTTCCCTAAAAACAGGTTTAAACAAGAGTAAAAGAGAAGAAGGGAAATGGAATATCCCAATTTCCAACTGAGTGTTAACCCACAAGAAGCTGAATTCCAAACCAGAAGTGAATGAGTAATCTTCAAGTAGCAAGGTTATGAGTTTTTTCTCAGTAGAAACAGGAACTTGAGAGCCAAGTTGAATGGTTTTAAAGCAATAGAGAATTAAAGAAAGTTGCATTTATGCACATCTAACCTTTGTTAAGATATAGATTTTAAACTTGCTATATAATTATTAGTACTGTTGTGTGGTTCTGATAAAAGTGTTTCTGGAAGTTCTAGAAGTTGAGTGAGATGCAGCAGGAGACAGGAGTTAGGAGTGGGTCCCTGTCCACCATTTCAGCAGGAACAGGTGTGCTTTAATACAGGGAGCCTGAACATGTAATTGCAGTTCTAGTAAAAATTTCTTCCCATAAAACCATATGCACAATCACTGCCTTGACAGTCTTTGCTTTTTTCCCTCCTTTTAGGGAAATAACTTGTACACTGACATTATTCCAGATGACAAGTCTGTTATCTTGGTTTTCCTTGGGCCTAATGCATTTTCAGTGGCATTTCAAGAAAAGCCCTAATAGTTAGACCCCCAATTGTGCTTAAGATGGCCCTAGAGACAGAGTTCTAAGAATTGCTAAGCATTTATTCACTAAATTAGCTTTCCGAGAGAACCTTCTCATCTGTTAGAATACTGTTCGTTAGTGTTTGTCTGCTTTGTTTTCTTACTTAAAACATTTTTTTAAAAAAAACTGAGGACCCAGCAGTTTCAGAATAGCAATGAAATCGGGTAAGGTATCCAAGTCAGTCACTGAAGTGTTTACAATTAGGAGGACTCACTAAAAGAGACTTCGAATCACCAAAAATCAAAATCAAAGCACATGATTTTTGCTTTTTTCATTAGATTCCACCATTTTCTACATTCAGAAAATGACAGATTACTGCCCTAGAAATTGATGGTTTGGTAAAATCATTCATATCATTGAAAACACAAAATAAACATATTCAAAACAGGATTAATAGAAAAGCGGATACATGTTTAGATAATCTGCTGTTTCAAATACCGTGTACTGTACTAATTGTGCAAACAACAGCAGATCTTTAGATTATACTGAACATACTAAAATAAAAAAATAAAAATAATAGGGAGTGTCCAATGATATAAAGACTTTGGGAATAGACTTATTTTCGAATCTCATCTTGGCCACTTACAGTAATATTTGTGTTATCTTCTTGAATAAGTTATTTAACCTCCAAAAGCATCAGTTGCCTTATCAGTAAAGTGCCAATTGTAATATTGACCTCAGCATGTTTGTGAGGTTTAGCAAGAATGACTTTAAGAATGCCTAGCACTGTGCTCGGTACCCATTCAACAGTAGTTCTGACAATGGCAATGTCCTTATATTTCCTTAAAGCAGCAGCAAAAATAATAATGATACTTTGTATCAATAGGCAAGAAAGTTAAAAGCAAATAGGCAAATTGGCTATTAAAAACTTAAGAAAAAAATAGTTTTGCTGCAGCTCAGACTTCACCCTAATGGGAAGAGGAGAGAAGGGTGAACTGAGGAGTGTTAGGCATTCTGAATAAACCACTTCTCTTTACGATCTCCAAAACTACAGTTTTGCTTGTGGAGTTATTATTCCAGAGGACCCTGGAAACATGGAAACATAGGCAATTGCCTCATTTTCCTTTGTACCATTTCGTGCAAAACTGACAATCACTGAAAAAACAGTATATAAATATGAGGGCAGGTGCAGTGGCTCATGCACTTTGGGGGGACGAGGTGGTGGACCACCTGAGGTCAGGAGTTCAAGATTAGTCTGACTAACATGGAGAAACCCCGTTTCTACTAAAAATATGAAAAATTAGCTGGGCGTGGTGGTGGGCGCCTGTAATCCCAGCTACTCTGGAGGCAGTGGAAGGAGAATTACTTGAACCTGGGAGGCAGAGATTGCAGTGAACTGAGATTACACCATTGCACTCCAGCTTGCGTAAAAAGAGTGAAACTCCACCTCAAAAATAAACCAAAAAAATGGTGAAGAATCCTTTGTCATCTGTACTATTCACTGTCAGTTTGCCTAAGCTTCTCATATTGTTGCTTTATCTTAGGTTTTTAAAAAATGAGCAAAAAGGAAAATAAACAAAGTCTAATGTGCAGTTTAGGGAGCTCAATTTTAAGGACTCCAAATTCATCTTACATTGTATACATATTCATTGATGATCAGAAGCAAATACTAATTATGATTTCCACAAAACAATATTTATTTGTTCACTTAGAGTAAAAATATTAGATGCATTACTGTGAAATCAATGTGTTTGTGCATTTCTCTGTTGGTTTACACTTGGAATAAAAAGTAGCCTATTTAAATATAGCTAAATAAACAAGATTGAAAAGACTGCTTGATGAATTTAAAAAACTCAGTCCAGTTTATTATAACTGATCAGTCTAAACAGGAACAAATTGAGATTCACTTCAAACTACTGGGCTAGAAAACACAATTAAAGAGAGGCTCCTTACCTATGAAAAAGTAAAACTGGCCTTTCAGTCCTGATTACAAGGTGAGAGAAAATGAACACTCTGATGGCATTGCAATCAGTGTTTGTAATTGTAAGTGTTGTTTGGAATACAATTCTAAAATGGGTAGGTGTTGCTTTACAACTTTCAGAGGAAAATACCTACAGTATTGGCTCTAAAGCATCACACATATATTTCTGCTGAAAAGAGAAATTTACAGACTGAGCATTGAAAGAATATGAGCTGCTGCCAGTGATTATGCAGGAAACATTTTCCCCTTCAATAAAACAAAGACAGGAAACACATTAGAACATTTAGAAAGAACAATAAAAGAGGTAACATCCTACCTCCATCCAACTCTTCAGCTCCAAAATGATTCCTGTAGAAGAGCATGATTTCTATCTTGTAACACTTGTAGATGGTCACCAAACATACAAGCAGCAAGAGGATAGCACCAAGCCCTCCAGCAAGTTCCACTGTGTACATGAGCTCTAGAAAGAAAAATAAACCACAATGGGGAATTATATAGTATTCACATCCAAAATCACAAATGAAATTCAATTTGATTTCATATTTTCCTGGATGAGATCAGATGTGGGTAATGTGCTAACGCAACCCCTTTTCTTTTTGTATGAGAATTTGACCTTTTGATAACTTTCTAGCTTTGTTTCCTTGGCAACTAGATAAGGTGGTATGTGATAACTAAGTTGCTAAGAAACATTGCTTGTGGTAAAAATGAACCTTGGTTGGTAGCTTGCATTTGGACTAAGAGAATTGTAAATATCTAATTGGAAACTATAATATTAGGGTTACCAGAGTGTCACAACTCTCTTATATAAATATATCCCTTGAAGAGATCTTGGAAGCTATGCTTATGGAGTTGATAAAATAAATATTGGTTCTTGTGGATATGAAGCTTTTAAGCCAGGATGATATTTGCCCTCTCCCAGTGCGAATCTTGATCCCTTTCACTTGAGCTCTCACCTGTGGGTTGGGGGCCAAAGGGAGGTAAGGAGCCAAACAGCATAGTTCCGGTAGAGCACTGTGGATTGTTGCATAGAATGTTAGGAGGACTAATGAATGCTGTTTGCTGACTCGTGCTAGGAGTAATGGCTCCTGTGCTATATCTCTCTGAAAAGAGTGGTACCGAGGTGATCTACCATAATCTTGCAGGCTGAATGCTTTTGGGGCTTAAGAAGTAACAAGGCGGTCTACCATAATCTTGGAGGCTGAAAGCTTTTTGGCTTTAAGAAGTAGGCCTCCGAGTGGATGGGATAGTATATGAGTATGTTGGTGGTGGTTTATTTTCATTCAGCCATTTAGTTCTTTAAATTTTTATCTGCTTCTCCTTTTACCAGGCATGTTACTACATTCTATACAAAAAAAGTAATTTTCTTGACACTCACTATATACAAGTTCTCCTTTTTCTATCAATATCTACATTAGAGCAAAACTTATCAGGAAAACTTGGGGGTAAAATAATTAGTTATCCTTTCATTCTTTAGAGTCATGGACATTGTAACAAAAATAAGAATACTGCTATTTAAATAGTAAGCCATCATGCACAGATTTTGAAACTCACTTTAATTAAGTGTTGTCCTTAATCATCATAGCCCAAATGTTGTTACTGATGGGTAGTCATCATTCCCTGCAGTTGACAACTACGTTAAAAAGCACTAGTTTCCTTAATTACAATTAAATATAAACATTTCTGAAGCTAAAGCTGTAAAATAACGTTGTTCTCCATTCTGCAATTCAGAATCCACCAATAAACTATCTTATTTCATAACACAGTCAATGTAAGCTTAGACTGAGGACTTAAAAATAATCCATGGTTTTGCCGGTAACAAGTATCCTCAGATTATAAGATCACTCCTGACTTCTCACAAATGGGGTGAAATCATGATGGGACTGGTGTAGTTTGAGTGAGAAATAATCTGAAAAGCATGGACATCATTTTCTCACAGGAACACTGTGCATGTGTGTGTTTGCATGTGATGTTACTTTTCCTGTAATAATTATAGAAAAAAAATCCTCGGGCCGGGTGCAGTGGCTGACCAAAAATCCTTGGCCTCCCAAAGTGCAGTAATCCCAGCACTTTGGAAGGCCAAGGCAGGTGGATCACTGGAGGTCAGGAGTTTCAGACCAGCCTGACCAACATGGTGAAACCCCATCTCTACTAAAAATACAAGATTAGCCAGGCGTGATGGTGGGCACCTGTAATCCCAGCTACTCAGGAGGCTGAGACAGGAGAATCGCTTGAACCCAGGAGGCGGAGGTTGCAGTGAGCCGAGATCATGCCACTGCACTCCATCTGGGGTAACAGAGCGATACTCCATCTCAAAAATAATAAAAAAATCCTCATTCATATTTCCTATTATCTATCCCTTGATTTCTAATTCTGTAGTTTAATAAAAATATATTAACTACTGTTTAATCAAGTGTATTTTTCTGTAATTATTAACATTAAATGGGAAATCAAAGACAATCTTATTTAAAATGATTGAACTATATGCATTTAAGACATAAAAAATAAAGTGAGATCAAATGTTTTCAAGCCTAAGTAACTTAATATGAAGTGTGAAACACCGAAAAATACCTCCAGCAGCTTATCTGATTAACATTGTGAAGAACCACACAAGACAGTCCTACAAAAGTACCAGTAATGAAATACAAAAGGCTCCTCAGTATAATGTTTTCCCACTATTATATGAACAGAAAGGTGAGTGGCTAATACTGTGGGGATAGATTGGGTCTTGTTCACTCAAGATAATAAACTCCACCATACACAGAAACCTGTGTAAAATTCTAACTTATGCCCACAGGGTGATTTATGCATCAGAAAAAATTCAATTTTAAATATACTGGATATCATGTGAGAAATAAACATTTAGACAATGGCTTCTTTTAAGATGTTCTAATTTAGTATATTAAACACTTGGAATTTTCCACTCAAAAATTTCTTGCATTAAAAAAAGAAATGGAAAAATAATCAAGAACACTTAGCTTCCATTCCTAAACATTGCTAGTGAGAGTACCCAATGATATTACCACATTGTAAAATTTGGGATAATTTCTAATAAAATTAAATGTAAATCTATATCAATAGCAATTCCACTCCTAGGTATTTGTCCAAGAGAAATATAAGCAGATATCTGCAAGAAGAGTTGTATGAGAATGCTCAGAGTAGTCTTATTTATTCACAGCAGCCACAAATGGAAACAACCTAAATGTCCCATTAACAGGAAAGGTTGAACAAAATATTGTAATGTTCATACAATAGAATACACTCAGCAATAAAAGTAATAAACTATTGATACACAAAACATGCATGATTCTCACAAAATTATGTTAGGAAAAGGAAGTCAGACACAAAATACTACTAGTGTATGATTCTATTGAAATTAGGTTCAAGAACAGACCAACATAATCCATAGCGACATAAATCAGAAAATAGATTCTTTGGTGATGAGTGAAGGGAAAATTTATTGGAATGGGGCAAGAGGAAACTTTCTGGGGTCACAGAAATAGGTCTTGGTGTGGATACACAAGTGTTTGTATTTGTCAGAAGTCATTTAGCCAAACACTTAGAGCTACATGCTTTATATTATGTTAATCATACTTCAATTCTTTAACATTGTGATTTTTTAAAAGAAAAACGTAAGTTCTAACCAAAGGCCTATGCAGGAAGAAGTATGGGAAGAAAGCTTGGAGTCAGGAAAGCTGCTCTACTATAGATAAGAACTGAGGCAGAGTGACTCTTTTATGGTGCCCCCAAGCAAATCCAGGGCATGGGCAAGTGGCATGACTTAAGTGCTCATATATAGTCAAGTAACTTTGGAAATAACAAAAAACCTTTGCCTGAAACATAATCTGATTAACCCAATGAACAGAGCTCTCATTTTCTCCAGATGGTATTTATACTACTGGTCTCTATATACTTTTTTAATTTTGAGAAATTGAATACATATAAATTAGGGAAAATTTGTATGAAAATAAGCCCTTCTTATTTTTAGCAAAGTAATTACCCAAACATGAGTTACTCCCATTGCTAGATGTCATGAGCCATTCCAAAAATGATATACGTTACTTAGAATATGCTACTTAGCCAATCAACAACGTTGTTTAAAATCTAATAAAAAAAAGGAGAGCAGAGTTGATGCAGCTTTGCAATTACAGAAACGGTCTTCTGTCACATGAAAAACTCCTTTAGGGCACAAACATACGAAAAGTTATATATGCTTAGAGAATGAGCAACAAGCAAGAATAATTCTTCTGGGTCATAGATAGTCATTTACTAATAATAGGAATACCAAAAAACCAGTCCAAAGAAACAGAATTTACAAGGAGCTAATTTATCCTGAGATTTTGAGAGCATCTCAGACTTTCCCCCAGAGACTTCTGTAGTATTACATCGCAGAAGCATGATGTTCTTATAATGTCCTTATAAAGAGGTCAGGAACAAAACGGAAATGTGTCTTTCCCCATGGTGCACAGTGCCTGCTCCTCAGTTACTACATTATTGCTATGCAGGAGTGTAATATACATGCCTACACATTATACATGTGTGCAAGTTATTTTTTTTCCCATTTTAGTACGTCACTTGGTTTATATAGCATATGTAAACTCTCTCAAAGAAAATAGTGCATCAGATTTAGCTTCTGTATTCTTTTGCTCCAAGCCAGATGGATTCATTAATACATGCGCTACCTATTACTGCTTATCCATTGGGTTATACAAAATTACTAAGGATTAAATTCTGTCACAGTTAAGAGAAATCATATGAGCCTACTGCTGTATTTTATCTTTACGTTGCAATGTGAATGGTGTTGCCCCAGCAAATGTCATTTTCCTTTGAAATGTGATCTGTTTTCAGCTCTAGTTCAAGTTGCCTGGAGTGGCAGCATTTAAAAAATAGAAAGATTCCCTTTCAGCACAATTCAACATCTGAGGACAGAAGGAAAAACTGCAGACCTTTTAAAATCTGTTCAGCTTTTGTGTTATTTTGTTAAAATGATAGACTCTGCCCCCTTTTAAGGCACTGAGGCTGAATATTGAAAATTGTAAAGCAAAATTGCTAGGCAAAACCTAAGGAAAACTGGCATTTGGTTAAAAACAACAAATGAACAAGTGCCAAAGAGTTGCATTTAAGGGCACCAGCAATCATTTAGTTGCAGGCAATTAACAATAGTCCTTGAAAAGCTCCAGCACAGGCTAAGGGAAAACACATTGATTATTGCTGCAGTAGTAGACTGCTTTCGGAATAAATTGTTTCAATTTAAAACTAGATTTGCTACAAGCGTTTTGAGCAATGACTACAATATTTTCTTATCAAGACAGTGGGAGCAAGCAACCCCTTAAAAGAAACAGCTAATTAAAATAAAGCTTGCACCATCTCTTAGTATATTGAATTACATTGCAAATAATAAATGCATTTGGTTTACACTGATCTTGCTGCAATTACCTAGTATACTATGGGAAACTATGTTCT